GTCTTAGAACATTCTGCAAACTACACTGCATATAAGCAATACAGTCTGGTCCATGATCCACCTCAATTTTTGACTGGAACATAAAGGCCCATTAGCACACCGATAACCCTTCTGCTCTCTCCTCCAGTACACCTACTCTCATGTGCATTGTGCAAAGCAATAAAGACCTGATTGGCTCAAATTGCTGACCCTTTTCCAGCATCAGTGTTGCTGTGTAGGGGATTGATCACAAAAGGCTGATAACTAGACAGATTTAAGTACGTATACTAGTTCCGTTAACTATTTAATGATTTTTAATGCCTACATAGATGGATTAAATATGATACATTTGACTTTCTTTCAAAGTTTGCTTTGATTGCAACCCTGTAGATTTCAGTTTACAGTAAAATGAACTATAGGTAAATACCTCATGATCCTGCCAGATATAGGTATGCCCTCCAACAGGATAGCAACGCTGATTCCCTTTTAGTGAAATCAATGCAGCTTTGTTACCCTGTGCAGCCTCTGTAGTCACTAAGCCTACAGAGTTGCTTAAATGTATAGGTTGAGGAAGGGGGGTTTATCAGCTTTTTCATCACCGATAACCCACTTCCTAAATGCCAGTGCCTTCATACCTATGCTTTGGTGCTAATAGCATCTGCTGTTCACATTACCTGGGGTTTACAGCTAGCACGGCTTTTCACTCCTTAGGAAGTGATGTAGGGAGTCCCCTAGGATTCCTCCTTCTGACTCTGACACTAAATAGACTTCTTTAGGTTCTGTAGAGATGCCTCAGGGGCAAATAAGATGGTGTATGTGGTGCATGGACCAGGTCATTAGCAAAAAAGGATTGGGGGGGCAGAATGTACAGGGGGAAGGAGAGCTTGTAGTGCAAAAAAGTAAGCCCATGAAGAGACCTTAATTGTGTAGTGTGGATAACCGTCCTCGGGTTACATTGGACCTGCTTTGTGTTTCTTGGGATGCTGTCAGTCTTACATAGATCTGTTCCTGCTGCTCCAAAAGCTCCTCAGTTGCAGACAAAGGCAGATCATTATGCAGCTCCTATGCTAGGATTTGCAAGTGAAACCCAAATGTATGCGTTCCAGTAGTACTGGGATTGAACACAAAACAGAGGGAGAAAAATCCCATCTACAGAAGCCCTAAATCTGCTGGGACTTTAAAATTCACAAAGAGTAAATGGCTGGCATTATTAGTATGTATGGTGGAGTGTTCACATGGAATATGAGGTTATACACAAAATCTGACCAACAACGTTTTACATATTTCAAACAATTTCAAGAGAATAAACATAGAGAAATATGTACTATATATTGTTATTTGTTCAGTCATCTTTCATATAGCTGAATGCCTTTTCTGCTGTTTATTTAAAGTAAAATACACTCCAGTTAAAACTTAGGACTAAAGCTAGAAATTAGGGCTGCGGAAATTAATGATCGATTAAAATGATTTTGATCAATAATGAAAACACTCACCTCTCCGCCCGCTTCCGGGAGTCCCGCCGGAGATCCGGTTGCGTCACGGACTTCGATGTCACCGGACTCCTCCCCCCTTCCCCAAGTGGCTCCGTTGGCAAACGAAGGGAAGGGGGGAGGAGTCCGGTGACATTGATGTCCGTGACGTCGCCGGAATCCTACCCCCTTCCCTTCGTTAGCCGGCGGAGCCACTTGGGCCGGTGAGTTTGCCCAAGAAACTTGTTCTGCACGAGCGCCAGCCAAGGCATTGGCCTATACACATACAGCACAGCAATGAAGTAATAAAATGAACTAGGATCACACTAATCCAGCACGTTATTATTCTGAGTTGCCCCACTCAAGCGGCAGCCATATTGAGTGGGCACGTGAGATTAATAACGTGCTGGATTAGTGTGATCCTAGTGTGATTCATTGTATTACTTCATTGCTGTGCTATATGTGTATAAGCCAATGTAGTTGGATCTGTATCTGCGTTATAATTAATCAAAATTAATCAATTAAAAAAAAATGTGATTGATCGAACACGAAAATTTTAATCAGTACCAGCCCTACTAGAAATGCATACAGGAAGCGCACCATAAATGTTTGGTAAATTATATCTAAAGCTATTTTTTTAATACAGTAGGGAAGGGCTCAAACCCATTGGGTGCTGTCTGTATTCCACTGGAGAAATATCCTGTCACTTCACTTGTAGACTCAACAGAAAGTGAAGAAGTGAGTGGAAATGTCTCCACAGTAAAGTCCTCGTGAAAATGGGCACCATAACAAAAGGAAAAGGTATATCTCCCCCAGAAGGGAATATGAACAGCAATGAAAACCTGACAACTTTCTAACCCTTCCTTGTAAGTCACCCTTTCTAAGCTTCCAAAAATATGCCTGTGCCTGAAAAGACAGGTGTAGGCTGGATGGAGCTTGTCACCTGGATAAAACGCATCATAGTGGGGTGGTCCCACGTGGGACTTCTGTGTACATGTCTGTAACAATAAAGTTTTACCAGAACGCTGTCATCATCCGCTTGTAGTCATCTATTGCAACTCTTTTTCTAACCCTTCCATACTATTCCAAAAAGTGTGTGGGGGGGGGGGGGTTAAGTATACACTTGTATACTTCTGAGTTTGTAACAAATGCAATAGTTAAAAAGAATTATAACACGATTCACCATCAGCCTCCATATACCGTAAATGGTCTGCCGTTCCAGGATCCAGTTTCAATATGCAAAACACCTACCGGTAGTTGTTGACATATTGGCACAATTAACAAAGCATTATAATGATGTAGGAAACTAGTGCAAGTGGTGTGCAGCACATTAACAAAGCAGAGAGACCCGATGCAGGTCTATCTGTGCCACACACACCAGTTTGTATCTCAGAGTAAAACAGAAATGAAGTTGTCGTTTCCACACCTAATTAACAAAGGAAATGTGGCAGCTTTCAATATAGAAAACGGCTGCAGATTCCTGCCAGATTAGACCTGGCATACAGGATGTGAACAGTCTGCCAATAACCTGGCACACAGCTCACATGCCTCTCTCTGCCCGTGCAGTGATCATACTACATGGGCAGAGCCTGCATAAAGGCAGAAAAAGCTTCTTTCCCTGCATATATGCCCAGCTCTTAACTATGGCAACACAGGGTCCTACTGCCTCTCAGCAAGCATGGTGGAGGAAGGAAGACAGAGGGAGGCAGAGCAAGCATCTTGCGCTCTTCTGCTTTCTATGCCATGTCTGTAGCAGACATGGAATAGAAAATGGAGCAGATCACTTCTAATTAACAAAAGGGCTTGCCCTCCCTTTTTTAATTAGGAGCAAGATAGTTACATAGTATTTGAGGTTGAATAAAGACATAAGTCCAACCTATTGCGTGTATGCATTTATGTTTGAGCAGGTGTGTGCGTGTATATGAGTACATGTTTGATTCTGCTCTTAAGAGTACTGGTACCCAGTGGCGTAACAACCGGGGGTGCAGCAGGGGCGCGGGCCCCGGGCGAAAAGTGAAGGGGGGGCGCCGGCCGAAAATTGCACTTTCGGCTAAATGCCGAAAGTGACATTTTCCTGCCGTTTTGCCGGCGCGGCCGTGATTCCTTTCATCCCCGCTGGGACACAGAGCAGTGCTCAGCACAGCAGGGATGAAAGGAATCAGAGAGAAAATGACAGCCGGCATTGTGAGCGGCCGGTGTCTTTCCTCCCACACCGCTCGGCCGCCTATCACAGTGCAGCAGAGCGGTGTGGGGCGGAGACAGCCAGCGCTGTCACAGGAGGCTGGGCTCTCCTCTTGCAGCCTCCTGTGACAGTGTGTGTCAGAAAGGAGAACGGGTACAAGCACCCCTTTATGTTATGGTCCCCAAGGAACTTGCCCAGGAGTTTCTTGAATGATTCCACACTCTTAGCTGAAATCACTTCCTGCGGCAGCGAGTTCCAGACCCTAACCAGTCTAACTGTGAAGAACCCCTTGGGCCCCGTGTGTTGACATTTATTTTCTACCAATTTTTGGTGGTGCCCTCTGGTCTTTGTTACAGAGCTAACCGTAAACAGTTTGTTAATAATGTTGCTGTTGCCGTTGAACAGTTTATACAAGAAAATCATGTCCCCCCTTAATCTCCTAACCTCCAAAGAGAACATATTTCATGTTAACAACCTTGCTTTATAGTTCAGGTCCTCAAACGCCTTAATGAGTTTGGTTGCCCTCCGCTGGACTTTTTCCAGCTCAAGGACATCTTTTCTGAGTATCGGTGACCAAAACTGGACCGAATTCTCCAGATGTGGCCGAACTAGTGATCTGTAAAGTGGCAAAATTATAGACATGTCCCTGCAATACATTCCCTTCTTAATGCAAGACAGGACTCTGCTTGCTTTGTTTACAGCAGTCTGGCACTGCAAGCTGTTCTTCAATCTGCGGCCTATAATGACCCCCAAATCCTTCTCCGTTTCTGACTTCCCTAGTGGCACACCCATAAGTGTATAGCCCATTTGCCTATTTTTATCTCTAAAGTGCAATACCTTACACAGAAGATCTGCTCCCTTTTCTCAGCTTAGAAGAGTGGTAAAGGCTTCATGGCTCCACAACGTTATGTTAATTTCCCTCCATTAATTCCCCCAAATATACACCACTTTTGCCTTTAGATACACTTTAAGCTATCAGCTTTAGGCTACTTCAGAAAGTACACTCCCAGTGACACTGTGAGGTGTTCTCTGGATTCTTGCTGTAGCGGACTAAAGGAAACACAGATTAAGATAAACTTTTAGGATAACTGATTGCTTTCCCTTGTTTCCTGAAATTGCTCTATAGCAGGAAACTGTTTGGTCTTTCTTGCTGTCTGTAACCCTTTTGGAGAGATTCTCCCTCTCTTCCTGGCCTGGCAGAATAACAAAAATTAGGGGGTTCTCCATAACAGGGACATAGATGGCAGTAAACATGAGCAGATTCTCAACCTTCCCCACTCTAATCCAAGAGTTTGCTAAAACTGCACTTATCTGCTGACATGTCACTGTAGATAACTCACAGTGCCCCATATTATAGAAAGTTCTTTTACCTTCACATTGATACTGCTGGCATGAAGGGGGAATACGAGAGCAGTAGAGTCTACAGAGGACAACTTCAGGTTTTGAGACAGATCATCCAGTAGATCAGTCAGAAGAGGAGGCACAGGACGACCAAAATCTTTCAGCAACTAAAAAGAAAAGGAATTAGAATTTGCAGTTGGCAGACACAAACTGAAAATCAAAATGTTTAAATATTAAGGTATTGCAAGTCACTGCAACCACAAAGTACTGCTTTCTGTTCTATAATTAATGAAAATAAAAACATATCTTCAAACCATCACATTGTGGTGGTAACATGCGGTAAAACATGCCAACACACCATGCATGCTGTATTCCGTTGAGGTTCTGTTCATCATGAACAGGCTACTTATTGCAATACACTTAACCATTCATGGTGGCACACTGCGTTCTGGTGCAGGTAGCACCTTTAGGAGAATCTGTGTTTTGACTATGCAGGGCAATGCAGACCATCATAGGAGTTTAGGCTACACTGACGTAGGTGGCTACAGGCGGGTGGATTGCTATGTTCAGATGTGACCAAATGCCAACTCTGGACAGAGCAGCACTCTGTGCTATGGCCATATACAAACTGGCTGGCTAGCTGCGGCCAGAAACTCCATCTCTGAATGCAAAGCGTCTGCGTCCAGGGCCAGTCAGAGGCTATTCTTGGATGAGTGGTTACATGCAAACAGTGGCAGTGGTGGAAATCGATTTGCACAGGTTGCAAATCTGGCTGTAGCTGTATAGTCCCTGATTCTTGCTGCCAGAGGTCCTAATCACCCATGTAAATGTAGCCTTATATATACCTTCCATTTGTTGAGCCACCTGTAGAGGAAAGCCCTGTATGCGTAACAGGTCAACAGATTTGTAGCATACACACTGGGCTATGGACTCCTCTGTGACAATACTATTTAGCTTAGCTCTGTCACATAGGTGAATCACATGCTTCTCCATTGTTAGAAGTTCTGGTATTTCCTTTGCCAACCAGCGCTGAACAGATCTGGGGGTAGGGGTGGGTTGGTTGGGGGGGTTTGAAGGAAAATAAACTACAGGTATATCCTGTTGGAGATGGGGGATTAAAGCAAATCTGCTACTTTTTCCTGAATGTGCAAAGCACAGATCTAGTTTAAGCGGTTAAAATTTAGGGGGTTATTCACAAAGCTAGCTGAAGGATCAGCTGTAGCTTCGGCTGATCCTTCGGCTGGCTCCGGCCGCCGGGGCCCTTCGGTTCAGTTGCCCTTCGGCCAGCCGAACACCTCGTAGATGACAGCTGGGTGAAGCCAGCCGTCATCTACGACTGGCTCCGCCCAGTTGTAATGACAGATCAGCGTCCCTATGTGACCTGGGAATGCTGAACTGTCATTAAACAATGACAACTTGGCAGAGCCGGATGTGAATTGTTATTCATTGGCCAGGACCTGAAGTAGCTAGAAGACTCTAGCAGGTCCCGGTCCTATGTGAATAGGGGTGAACGGCAGCAAGTGAGCTGCCGGAGCTTCGGCTCAGCCGATCCAGATGTTGGATCTGCTGAGTCGAACTCCTTCTGCACTTTGGCTCAGCCAAACATGCTCTGCATCCCCTTTCTCAGGCAAAGACATGCAGGTGTCTTTGCCTGAGGAAGGGGATCCTGTGTGACCCGACACGTTTGTTGCATTTGTATGATATGCTGCACCACGTCAATAAATAGACGTTTCATTGCATCGCAATTGGAGTGCCGGTGTCCCTGTTTCTACGTATGTAACGGCTGTCATCCGTTGATCACCGCAGCACCCATTTTTGTCTTTCTTTTGGAGTAAGCGGTCAGGAGTGTGATGGGTTCATGGACTCTTTTGAAATTTCAACCTGCCACCAAAACCGATAACTCCTGCTACCAGCTAATGTGAGCAAGTTGCTGTATAAAAAAGGATCAGCCCCCAATTACACTTTTCCAAACCAAGCTACAATCGACAAGTAACACACAGCTTAGCTGTAAACCAGCACCATTGAAAATAATGTGATTCTTCATGTTGAGTGTTGTTGTGCTTCTGGAAACACAAGGCAAAATGCTCAGATATGAATGGGGGCTAAGTGCTAAAAGAGCACTTATCCTTTAAATGGAGTTATACACAGGTATGACGATTCACACTGTGAGCTTATTAAATTCTTAGCTGCAGCCTTGTAACCATTTCAGTATTCAAATCAGCTCAGGAGAACTTCAAATCAGCTCCTTCATCCGGCAGCATGGGATGCCCTCAAGTCACAACAGTCTAATTTGCAGTCATTTTTCTGTTAGACTAAAGTAATCATTTTGTAGTACTTGTTCAAGTTAAAGTGTATCTAAAGCTAAGGCTTTTTTCTTTTAGTTTTGGATAGAGCAGTGAAAGGTTAGAACCCCTGTCAGGTTCTCTAGTGATTTTTTGTCCTGGTGATTAGTTGCCCTGGACCAATCAGTTGGGACAGGTGCATTCCCTACTCTGCTGCTGTCACCATGGGGCAAGAAATCCACTTGTCACAACCGATTGGACTGGGAGGTGGGTCAGTCGCAGTTTTGCATGGTCTTGTGGGAAACTTAGGCGAACTGGGTTCGCACCAAGCCCACGCATATCATTAGTCACCATAATATAGTGCAAATCTTTCAAAAGAGACACTTGTTTGGGCAACAACTACCTAAGAGGAGATTTCCCTGACTTTAAAAACATTTCCTCTAACTTCCCATGGTGTCTATAGGACAAGAAGTGAAGGGAAATGTCCCCAGAGAGAAGGGTTCTAATCAATCTCTACCCTATCCAAAATGGAAAAAAAGTTTTTACTTTGCATATGCTTTAAGAAAGTGTCAAGTCTCTAAAAGGCCAAAATCTATGACAGCCCAGTTCGCTTGAAACGCCCTTTAATTACCAAGCAAGGCACAACCCTGAAAAACAGCAAATCTGTGTTACCTGCTCAATTTCCTGATGGGCTTCAAAGAATTGTGGGTTCAGTTTCATGCAATGCTGGAAATTAATGAGAGCCTCTTCTTTCTTTTCCATATTGAGTAAAGCCACTCCTTTTCTGTAGAAACCCTGCACAGAATATAAAATGAGAAATACAGTTCATTTAAACCAAAT